CAATTTCTGGCCAAAATTGTCACGCGATCATAAGCGGTCAAAATCCGTGATTTGTCATAATTAATAAATAAAAATTTCAGAATTTGAATAAAAGTATTTCGTGAATGTACCTCATCTTCCATCATTGTATGTAATTCTACTCTAGATATATGTAATCGATCCCTATCTGTACTATCAATGACCATGATGACAGCTTTTGTTCTTATATAATATGTTTTCCACGTTGTACGTAACGAGTCTTGACCTCCGAGATCCTGATATTTAAAATGGGAAAATACGCGTTTTATAGTTATTAAATGAATGAAATACAACAAAATATTGACAATATTGATAGAAAAATCGATTGAAAAAGATACTTGCCCACATTAAAAAGTGTATATTTTTATAGACTATTTCCTATAAAAATAAAAAAAAGACACGGAAATTTATATATATATTCTGATCCAATAAGAATTTAGTACCCTTCGCAACCTTTGTTTTGGTAACCTAAATTTTTGTTGAAACTTTAAACGAGAATATCTCGATAACAAGCTATATAAAATCGATAAAAAATTTTTTAATTCTATGAATCAATAGAATTAAAATAAAAAAAAATTCTTCAATTCTAGATAAATAGTTATCGAAATATCATCGCTAAAAGTTTAGAAAAATTTAGTCGCAACTTTTTTAATAATCACCTAAATTTTTTGTTAAACTTTGAAAATATCTCAATTACTAGCTATTTGAAATCGATAAAAAAAATTTTTATTTTAATTCAAAAAAAATTTTCATTGATTTTTAGGTAAGTAATTATCAAAATATCATCGCTCAATGTTTCGAAAAAACTTCGCAGAAACCTTTGTGATAATCACCTAAATTTCTGTTAAACTTTGAACGAAAATATCTTGATAACTATTACCTAAGATCAATAGTTTATGAGTTTCATAGAATTATATTAAAAGTATTTCGTTAATTTTAGGTAGGTAGTCATCGAGATATCATTGCTCAAAGGTTGGAAAAACTTGGCCGCAACCTTTATTTTAAATTTTTGTTGAACTTTATCTCAAATAAATACCTACCTAAAATCGATGAAAATTTTTTTAATTCTATGAACTTATAAAATTAAAACAAAAAATTTTATCGATTTTAGGTGGGTGGTTGTCAAGATATCATCACTCAAAGTTTTGACGCAACCTTTGTTTTGATAATCATTCAAATTTTTGTAAACTTTGATCTCGATAACTATCTACTTAAAATTAATAAATTTTTTTTTTAATTTTTAATTTTATGAATTTGTAGAAATAAAATAAAAAAATTTTCATCAATTTTAAATGGGTAGTTACTGAGATATCATCGCTCAAAGTTTGAAAAAAGTATGTAATATTGTTGTTATGGATCGTCGATTTCGTCTAATCAGAACATATAGTTCGAGTAGAATCTAACCATGACCGTCACTTTTTTTCGAGATGCCTAGGGTACTAATAAGAATTTATTAATAAAAAAACGTTGAACATACCTCCACATTGCTTCCTATAGTGGGTGTTGTAACGACTACTTCATTTAGTAACCTATTTTAAAAAGTCGAAATGTTTATGAACATATGAAAAGTCAAAAATAAATTCCAAATAAAATCTTACAATTTATATAAAACGGTAGTTTTCCCCGCATTGTCCAACCCAACGAGCACAATTTTTACTTCCTCTTTGTTGGTAAGCTTGCGCCACAGTTTCGTAAGTATAATCCCCATTATAGTTATTTGGCAAAAACGTGTTAATTTTTCTTTTTTTTGACAGTTTAATATATTGCAAAAATCTGGAGACTAAATAATATATACAAGCGAGGTATATAGGAAATTATAAAAAACGTAATAACAATAAATCAAGGAATTCTCGAAGGGGTCCCGACATTAAATAATTATTTACTACATGCAGATCGAATCTGATTGGTTGTCTAATTTTAGTTTTTAGTATATATATTGAAAAAAATTTTATCAGTTTTTTTCCTCCTACTCGTAAATCTATACCTGTGGTGTGTATTAAAAATTTCATCCATCCATTCATCAAATTGACAAAGAAATATGACTAGATATTGGATATTAGATAATAATTTACTGCTTAACCTTTAATCATGATCAGACTTGTCTTTAAGCTTCCAATAAAGGATCCCCTTGTACACGTGAATAATTTTTGAAAAAAGTTCGAGATGTCAAAGGGAGACGGTCGCGCCAAAAAAGTCGAATATTTCGACAGGCTCAAAAGTTTATTGGAAGAATACCCATCCATTTTTATTGTAAATGTTGACAATGTCGGATCAAACCAAATGCACCAAATCCGTCATAGCCTTCGGGGAAAGGCAATAGTATTGATGGGAAAGAATACGATGGTCAGGAGAGCGTTAAAAATTTTGATCAATGATAATCCTCAATTTGAAAGGCTTTTACCTCATGTAAGAGGTAACATTGGATTTGTGTTTACTAAAGCGGATTTGAAGGAAACAAGAGATGCGATTTTGGCGAACAGGGTACGCATGTGGAAAAATAATTTAAGAAATTTGAAGAAAAATAATTTTATAAAATTTGAAGAAAAATTTGAAGAAAAATTTAATTAATATATTCTAACCGACCATGTATTTAAAGGTTAAAGCACCTGCTAAGGCTGGTGCCGTCGCTCCAATTGATGTATACGTTCCAGCAGGTAACACCGGTATGGAACCCGGAAAAACATCATTCTTTCAAGCCCTTGGGGTTCCCACAAAAATTGCTCGTGGTACAATTGAAATCATCAATCAAATGCATCTGGTGAAGGCGGGTGCTAAAGTTGGAGCATCTGAAGCTACATTGTTGAACATGTTAAATATTTCCCCATTCACTTATGGGTTGACGGTCGTACAAATTTACGATAATGGTAATACATTCAGTCCTTCTGTTCTTGACGTTGAGGAATCTACTTTGATCGACCACATGTTAAGTGGTATCAAGACGATTGCAGCTATTTCGTTGCAAATTGGATATCCTACTGTTGCTTCAGTCCCCCATTCACTTGTCAATGGATTCAAGAATTTATTGGCTATTTCTGTTGCAACAGAATATACTTTTGCCGCTTCTGAGAAGGTAATTAATTACTAACAATGAAATAATTTTACAATTATTTTAATATTCGCATACATCATGATTATATAATTCAGCACACACTATTACATTCATTATACGCTAATCATGTTCATTACATCATTTTTAGGTTAAACAATATCTCGCAGATCCATCCGCTTTTGCCATTGCGGCACCGGTCGCCGAAGCCACAGAATCAAAAGAAGCTGCACCAGCAAAACAAGAAGAACCTGAAGAAGAATCAGATGAAGATATGGGATTGGATCTCTTCGGTTAACAAGTTATTTATATCAATTAAATTAGATTCTTTATGAATAGAACATGTGGATGTGAATCTAATTTTATTAATAAGTTAAATACATGTAACATTTCGTTAGTAATTTTTTTTTCTTTGAATTACATGTAAAATATAACTAGTTACACTTGTTTAATGAATATTTACGTATTAAAAGGTCAAAAATAACGCACTTGCTGCGAATTTTTCTACTCTTCAAAGTGTTATCTTAATATTTATAATGCTGTAATGGGACTGGCAAACCATTTAAGATAGCAAAGTTAATGGTAAAAGCGTTAGAAAAACTTTAATAATGAAAGTGTTACTTGTGAAGGTAATTCTGTAAAGTTTCATGAGTTGCGCTTTTCTTCAAAAGATTAAACTTTGAAGAACGGTATTTCCAAACTCTAATATTTCAGCCTTTATTTATACTTAGAATGTTACTTTATAAAATCAGATTGATGTAAAAGTTCAGATCGGTTATGAGATAAAAAACGATAAATGAACATGAAACTGCGAAAAAAAATAATTAGTTTACTAGCTAATTTGGAAACTTCGTTCATTTTATTTTATTATTTTTGATTTCGAAGTTAAAGCCAAAAAATAGATTTTTGACGAAATTGCTCAATTATCGTTACATAATCCGACTAAACAACCATATATATACATATATCGGGTGTGAATAGACACATCGGATAAACTCTAACCCTAATACGTACGTATTACTGTATAATTAAAATCGGGTAATTTTGACACGCGTCTGAAATGTATGCTAGGTTTGTGGCGCAGGTAAATATTGAAGTTAGTGTTTATATACGTATTAGAATTATGCGTTAACAAGTTGTATGCTTAAGAAAAAACGATTTCTTATGTAGATTTTGAGAAACAAAAGATTTTTGACACATTTCAGACGTGCATTTTGGAATGATGCTAGCTGCTAGGCTTTAAATATCCACTAAAATTGTGTGAATGATATTCGCGTTTATATGTAGCCTGGTTTTTTTTTGTAGTAAAAATTAACGCGAAATCCTCTCACTAATTAGTTGGTTTGATTAGGTGTAACATTGATCGATCTTTGAGCTACTTACGAATGAACTATCCAAAGAATAATTCGTTTTAATAATGCATAGACGTTAGGACATGTCTAGATACTAGTTGTTCTATAAATTTATACCGTAAATTCTCGAAATAACGGGCATCTGCGCGTTATTTTGAGTACGCGCATGGGCGTTATTTTGAAACAAATATAAAATTATATATATTTTTATATAAAAAGTAGATAAATAAAAATGCCCCGAAACTAGGATCGGTGCTAAGTAAATCTACTTTCGGGATTTGTTGATCAGGTCAAGACGATTCTAATCGTAGTAAGTTCATTAAAAACGGCCCAGTATATCGTCCGCAATGGCTTTGTTTACATAAGCTGCAGCTCATATAAACAAAGATAAATAAACGTTGCAAAACTTTGGGGAGTCATTGTGGCCGATATACTGAGTCGTTTTTGATGAACTTACCACTATTAGAACTGTCACGGTCTGAAGAACAACTTTTGTTAAAGCTCCAAAGTAGATTTACATAGTACCAAACCTAGTTTCGGAGCATTTTTTAAGTTTGATACCCTTACTCTTAGATGCGCGGACGCGCATGGGTGTTATTTCGAAACCACCTATGCTATTTTTAGGGGCGCGATTTTCGAATTAACGCCCCGTCCGTTATTTCGAGAATTTACGGTATTTTTATTAATCAATATCTAAAAAAATATACTGTTTCTATTTTCATGATAAATATTAATATCGAATTGTGCTGGTTATTACAATTACTGTACATACAGTACGTACAGTATACAGTACAGTATGTTTTTAGTATAGATCTTAAATAAATAAAATTTTAGCATATGTTTTGAAATTAAATTTTTATATTATACAGTATATATATACTTATGGTTAAAATAATAAGATAAATTATTAAATATTAAAATTACAAATTATAATAAGGGCATAATAAGATTGAGGCATAAAAAGATAACAAAATTTTTTCAACTAAGTACATACAAGATTGTAAATACATAACTAGTGGCATAACAAGATTGAGGCATAAAAAGATAACAAAAGTTTTGATCCAAAAACATACGAGATTGTGAATACATAAAGTTCTTAACCAGTCTTATTATTTTTATTGCAACATGTAATTAAAAAACACCAGAGAAATTATATTATACATATTATACATATTAAAGAAAATTTTTTCTCATATCTAAATATATTCAAATCATGATTAATTATGTTGATTCAGACTTATATATTAGGATATGAGAAAAGAGCCATTTTGTGTATTTACATTATAAATTAAGAGTTTTTTTTTGTTTAATTGCATCTATGTTAAATCTTACCTACTTTTAACGAATGTGCGAATGCCGTATTTCATTGCCATGAATGCCGTATTTCATTGCTATGAATGCCGTATTTCGTGGTTTAAAAAATGTCGTATTTCGTGATTTAAAAATTAATCATAATATATAATAATCTACATCATATTTATCAAAAATAATGTTTCATAAGTATTCCTATTGAGTATTCTTATAAAGAGATTTATAATTTAATAATCTGCTTATATAAACCGCTTGATTATGAAATTTTGGTTTGGGAAAAGTTTTATTTATTAAATCGGAAAATCTCTTTTCTTCGGCAATATCAAATTGCTCAGAAGTTGGTGAAGGATCTTTATAAATTTAGGACGCAATAAGGTTCAATAAGTTTTTGTAAAAAGATAAAAAAAAAAACACATATATATATACAATACCAGGGTCATCGCTGATTGCAGTCATCCATGAAGTTAAAATTTCATTAAGTTCAGAAACTTTAGGTCTCTGGCTTGGATCTTGATGCCAGCATCTTTCCATTAGTGTTACATACACTTCGGGAGTACCATCGATGATACTTGGCCTTAAACCATCACATATTAATGTTGCAAGATCGAGGTCATGAGGAATATGACAAAAAGGAGGAACAAAGGAGGACATTGCCCACATAATAATTCCAAAACTATATATATCACATTCCTGAGTATATTTTTTACCTCTCAACACCTCTGGAGCGATGTAAGGCAAAACACCATAAATACCGGATGCAGAGCTGTCAGCGGGACCATGTAACCCAATATCAGAAATTTTTACATTTATTGATTCAGGATGCTCTTCAACTAATAAATTACCACCATGAAGATTTCCATGAAAAAACCCATTTTCATGAATTGGCTCAAGACCACCAACAACTATTCCCCAAAGCATATCGATAACATCTCTCCTAAAGGAAATAAATAATCAAATGTTTGCAAAAGTCATAGGTATGTAACAAACTTGCCAAAAATTGTAGTAATTTTTATAATGACTATAAATGTTATAAATATATTATAAAGATTGTTGCTTAAAAAAAATTGGGTTAAAAATCTAATAATTTTTTTCTCTTGAATTTAAAATTGAAAATTTTATGTTTTTAAGTTATATTCATAAGCGTAAAAATAGCTACACTTTTTGGCAAGTTTTTGATGATGATGAGAATTTAGAAAAGCCATACCAGCAAAGACATCCCATGGTTTTGGCAAGATATTGATGTAAATCTCCAGACTCGTAAAATCTTGTTACAAACATATAGCAACCAGTTGGGTCACGCGTCAGTCCAAAACAATCGACCACCGCAGACGCATTTCGATAACATTCATGATATTTTAGAATCTAAAATATATATATTAATTAGAGAAATATGTGAGTATGTGTAGTTTCGAACGAACATGCATCAAATTTGCCGGTCCTCACTACGCTTTCAGACAATAATAATAATAATAGTGATTACATTATCTAAATATTCTTGACACATTGATTGAGAATTTTCGATTCTTTTCAAGGCACATTTTGTAGGACCGTTTCTAACCCAATCTTGGGATTCGCTGTCAAAAATATGTCTAGGCCCTTCCATCCATACGCTAGAATAAATTACGCTGAACGCGCCTCTTGCATGGTATTTAACAAAATCAAAGTTCTCGAAAGGGATCCATTCCAGATAGTCCACACATCCGAAAGCAGTAGTTTGAGTCTTTTGGATAATTAAATCAATATTGACATTGCCACTTGTCCATTTGGAAAAATTACGCCGGAGGAAATCGATTTCACATTTGGAGCACCAATTAGAACCACTGTTTGTGTCTCCACATTCAAAGCATTTACCATATTGGCAAACGTTTGGATCCATTTCTCAACGTCATTTTTAACCAAAGCTTAAATCTCGAAAATATATACTGGTGGCGTACGACTGATCACCAGTTATTCATGTTCGTTCAACTTCCATTCATATGAAACTTCCATGCAAAAACAATATAATGCTTTTTGTTTACATTGTGACACACAAACAAACATTAAGCTTATTGTTATGGAAACACGTTTTTAAGATCATCCTTGCATAAATTTAAAAAATTAGGGACATCACGAGATTATCAGTTACTTCATAACAAAATAAAGTATGAATAAAGTATAAATAAAGTATCCGGAAAATTATGGAATTACAATCTAAATTTCGATTTATAAAAAATGCGAACATATCAGTTGATCTTAGAATGGCAATCTATCCGTTCCATGGTTTTTTGGAAGATGAATTTAATACAATTTTAATAGAGTATTTGAAACGAAGGAAACAATAACTAAAAAAATTCGTGTCCCCGGCAGGGCTGAAAATACCTATTCATTCAAAGATATTGTTCTTGATTCAAATTATTTACATGATTCTAATGTATCAAAAAAGACACTTGAAACAATGGGCTGCATGGCCGGGAAATGAATCCCTAGTCCCTGGTAGTTTTTAATTACATTACTTGAATATTTTGCAGATCAACAGTATATGTTGTAAGTGGGAATGGAATTAAGTGGTTTCAGAATTTCCAAGTTTAAATTAGGGTTAGGGTAAGGGTGTACATATGATTAAATCAACACCAAAATGCTGGGTTTATATAAAAATTCCGGTTCCACTTAATTCCACTTCCACTTACAACATATATACATAAATTCAATTCAAATCATTTGATTTGAATGTGACCGATCATGTGTGTGACGGATAAGAAATAATGTATAAAATATATGACTAATTCCTATTTATCATACATTCATCACACAACTTATTAGTTACACCCTAAATATTCACTCAAATATTTAAGTTATTAATAAATATATAATTGATTTATGATTGATTTTATGATATTGCTTTATATATAGTAACAATTTAACATTTCATTCGATTATTGCAAAAATAATTAGGGAACTGTTATTGCCACCCCCCATTTTTGTTAATGCCACCCTTACATAACTCTAATTAACCTTTAACCTTTCCGGAAACTCTATAAACAATGCTTACCCTAACTGCTAACTAATTAATT